TCAGCTAAACAACACATATTTAAACTGTTAATATTTCCTTACAAGCCATTCCTAAATGTGTCAGTTAATTCTTCCCTGAATTCCTTACAATTTGTCTATGTCTTTCTGGTAAGGAGGGACCAGACAGATCACAACATGCTAGGTATAGTTACACCAAAACCATATATGTTAAGACTATTATCTCTCTGCTCTGTGGTAGGATGTCTTTGCATATACAGATCAAAATTGTATTGGACTTGTTTTTGCTGCAGTATCACATTGCGAACTCACGTCTGACTGTCCATAAATCTCTTTCAGCATTACTACTTTCCAGGTTTCTCTGTCCCGTTGAATATTTGTGCCTTGGATTGCTTTCCCTAGATCTCTTAGCTGTATTTTCCAAACTGAATCTCATTAATTTTTCCTACCCCTGTTTCAAATCTCTCTAGGCCCCTTGGTGGTATTTCCCCATTCTGCCAGGTTTTCACTATGTTTCCCAACCTGCAGATTTCATTAGTGTATTATTGGCTAGATAGGTCTCCTAGATCATTAACGAGGAGCTTATAAAAGAACAGGCCTAACCCAGATCCCTGCAACATTCCACTTGGCACCTCTCTGATTCTCAAGTAGACAGGAAACTAATGGAAAGGTTAGATAGTGCAAAGGATTATGATAGTGTTCATATTCTGTCTGATTTACATCGACTCTCTGAGGAATGTTTTATGGGACAATCCAGTGCTTTCTTAAAATCTAGATATATTACCCATGACACTTTTCTTCATCCACCGGTTTTGTAATTCTACCACCCTCCTATCTGCAATCAAACTGTGGCCAGTAGCTAAGGCAGGCTACTATACTAAATAGACAAGTTATAAAAAGCAGATGAGATGGCACAAAACAAATGGAAGAATGTGAGGAGAAGGCTGGAGATGGGGATTAAGGGAGGCAGAGAAGTAGGAAATCAAAAATTCTCTCTCTGCCTGTTTCCATGTGGTATAAAGGTCAACAATACTGATCTGAATACCAGAACAAATAACCATGTGTTTGTGTTGTAATAATACTGTAGTAATGTTTTCTCTAAAGTATCCCTCTGCTCTACCCTGGAGGCAGTCAAAACACAGAAGGATATCCTAAAGTAACAACAAAACATTCTGAACTAAGTTTTATGCCCATGCCTGGGCAAGTGTTTTGGAAGTGGTGAGAGGAAGCGGAGAATCTTTTCTTCTGTAATTGGACAGAGTGCAAGAGCTGATGGCCAAGTAGGGTTGCCTGAAGAACTCAAGACTCATGTGAGGGCATTGCTTTGCCCTGCTTTCCTGATGGACAGTGGGGGGGATGTACTGGCTCTTGTACATCATAGCAACGGGAGCAGCCCTAGCCATTTTGCCAGCCAGGGTGGAAAACGTTTTTGGCTCCTCCCCACTCTCACCCCCAAATGGCAGACCAAAAACAACAACAAAAAAGCAGAGCCAGCCTAATCAGCAGAGCAAAAATGGCCAGCCAATCACAGCAGAGTAACAACAACAACAACAAAAAGCCGAACAGCACAGTGGTCTGGCACCTGAAGGTGGCGCCCAGGGTGACTGCCTATGCTCGCCCACCCCTAGAACCGGCCCTGCATTGCAACTCCCACAGCTCAGCATGCTCTCTCCAGCACCCAAGCAGAGTTATGCTTGTCCAAGCACCATGAAATGGCATCCAATTTCAGCATTAATACCTCACTGAGATAAATCGAAGCAATTCCTACATCTCAGAACTATTGTTCCAGGTTGGCTGCAGACTCAGGCACATTTAGTTCATACTTTAAAGCAGGGGTTGGCAACCTTTCAGAAGTGGTGTGCCGAGTCTTCATTTATTCACTCTCATTTAAGGTTCCGCGTGCCAGTAATACATTTTAACCTTTTCAGAAGGTCTCTTTCTATAAGTCTATAATATATAACTAAACTATTGTTGTATGTAAAGTAAATAAGGTTTTTAAAATGTTTAAGAATCTTCATTTAAAATTAAATTTAAATGCAGAGCCCCCTGGACTGGTGGCCAGGCCCGGGAAGTGTGAGTGCCACTGAAAATCAACTCGCGTGCCGCTTTCGGCACCTGTGCCATAGGTTGCCTACCCCTGCTTTAAAGGTTTCTTTCCCAAACACATGAACTAGGCCCTCTCTACACTAGAAAAAAATTGTAACCATATTTAATAGGTGTGACGCAGGGATGCACCTGCCTGATAATACGGATCTCTTAAGCTGTGTGTAGACAGGGTGCAGGCTTTTTAATATGTGGCAGCTAGCCTTGCTCCTTTTTTATTTCTACCAATTGTGTTCCTTCGTTCTAGGTCCTTAGGATGAGGTCTAGGGAAATCATTGGGACTTTTTGTTGCTAGAATGAATTGTCTCGTTTCTTTTGAAGAACTGTCTCCTTGGTATAGTGGGAGTCAGGAAAATTGGACTCCACTTCTAGCTTGCCACCGGCTCTGTGTAACCTTGAGCAAGTCCATTTTCCTCTCTTTTCTCTCCTCCCTTTTGTCTGTTGTATCTATTTAGACCATAGGATCTTTGGCCTATATGGACTATCTCTCACCATGTTTCTGTACATGACCTGGTACAAATGGAATCTCAGTCTTGATTCTGGTCTCTAGGTGCTATCACAATCATAATAATAAATAATAATAATTAATAATAAACTTCCATTTAATTCTTCACACTTACAATATTCCAGTCAGGCTAGCTTTGTCTGAGAATTCTATAGAACTGCATTGGCATTGTTATAATCTTACAGAATCAAGAGTTTACACACACATTTCTTAAAGAAATTGATGGGCTCTTTGTCCTCAGTGCCAGTCAGGATGTCTAGAGCTCTTACCTTTCTGTCTCTCGTCTAGTTCTCTAAATACTCCAGGCTGTGGTCAGGCAGCCTTTCATGGCTTCTGATTACTGCTTCTTAAAATTCATCTGTGTCCACAGTAATTTGAAAAGCATTTTCCACATCTGTCTCTACATGCCCTGGCCCATCGATCTAAACCACCAATCTGGTTTTCCACAGCTGTCAATTTTGCTGGTCTGGTTTCCACTCTGGATTGCAGGGAGGAGAGCAGGGAGTACACAAGGTCCAGTTTTCCATTCATTGTCTTACAGTGAGCTGTCAGGATTTGGCAAGGTTTGCAGAAACTCCTCCATTTGAAGTTTGTGTTTTTACTCTTGGCATTTCCAGTACTCTGAGGGCCTCTGAGGTAGAGAACATAGTTAGTCAGATGAAGAGGTCAGGTGAAGTTTACCAGTGCTATCTCAGCATGTGAGGAGAGATCCTGGGAGACAAAGGATCATCAGGGGACTATACAATTGTGAAGGATGGGAGCGATGATGTTGGCGGCTGCTGCTGCTTCTTCTGTGGTGCAAAGACACCTGGTAGAACGTGGCAGCCACTACTGGTCTGGTGGTTCTACTCCAGTACAGAAGGAACCTAGGAGAGGAGCAAAAATGACAATGACTGCTGCTCTGATGCGCAGTGGACCCAGAAGGAGCGTGATTAGCCGTTACTGCTGGTGCTGATGCGTCTATCCCACTGCAGAGCTCATGTAGGAGTAGAGAGAAGGTGGCAGTAACTGCTGGTGCTGTTATTCTGGGACCAAATCCAAATCCTGTTGAAATCACTAGAAAGACTCCCCTTGACTTCAGTGAGTTTTGGATCAGACCTATGGGTGGGTGTAGGACGAGAGAAGTTTAGTTCTTAGTTGTTTGTGTAATTGAATAGAGGTATCTGGCTCTGTTCTTTCCAGAGTTTTGTCCCAGTTTTATATTTTCACCCTTACTGGATGCTTTGACAATGGAGATTATTATACAGCCCTTTTCTTTTCTCTTCCCAGCACCCATCAACACTCTCCCCTTATGGGAGGACAAGACAAGTGGCTTTTTCTACAGCAAACACTATTTATTTATTTATGGCTTATCCACTCACGGTGTGAGTAAATGTGGCCTGGGTTTCCCCATTCCTCAAAAGATTAGCATGTCCTCCCTGCACTGGGCTCTGCCTTCATAGCTCTGGCTAGCAGGTGCACCTTCTACCAAGATCTTTCACACAGCTGGAAAATGGGCTTGATTCTTATACAGCTCTGCAGAGTGAATAATTGTAAACCAAGCAAATATTGAATGATGGCAAGAACAACCATTTTCTATGGCTTGCTGTTTGTTACCAGGGACGGGACTTGTTCTTTTAGATCACCTATGACTATACAATGCGGGGAGAAGGGGTGAGATTACTGATGTGTGGGTAAAACTGTTGGGAAAGTTCTGTAGGGCAGGACACCTTTTCTTATGCAAAGAGTAATCTGGGTGCAGTGCATCTTGTATTTGAAAAGTCTAGGGTCATAACTGAATCCCTTTCTGATGTTCTGAAAACTCTTTATGATGGCTGCATGTAACCAGATAAAATGCTACATCATCATAACTTTTTTTCAATAATAACAATAGTAATTTTGTTTGTTTGTATTCCACATGCACCTAGAGGGCCTAGCTAGGTTGGGGCACCATTATAGAAGGTGCTGTAAAGATATATATAAAAATAATATAAAATAATACTTAATAATGAACCCTTGATGAGCCCCATTGAAGCCAAAGGTGTCTGAGCAGGCAGATCAGACTGAATCTGTAATGGGTTTCCTCCCATTTTTTAATTGTAAGCTCACTACTGCTGGGCCTCATGCATAATAATATAAAAAAAATTAACGGAGAGATGCAGCTGCTTAAAATTAATTGCTGAAAAGGAACCAAATTCATCCTTGGTGTCCAGTAACTTCACACAAGTCAGTGGAGTTATATGAGGGATGAATTTGATCCTTACTGACGTTACTTATCAAGGATACGGCTTACCCAGACATTTTATGAAGAAAATCTTGCCATAGGCTATTTATACTGGCTGTGTTTAAGTTTCAGAAAGAAAAAAAAAATACAGAAAGAGCAGCTGGAGGAGCAAATCACAAAAATACTTTGTGTAATGTTCTGCCTTTTCTCTCTCTCTCTCTTTAATAACAGGGCAGCACACTGAGAAAGCGAAAGATGTATGAAGAATTCCTGAGCAAGGTCTCCATTTTAGGTCAGTTGCCCTTTGGACTTCAGTGTTCATTTTTCTGTCACACATGTTGTCTGAATACATTTTGGTCTTTGATGAGATGATGAAAGTGGCAAGTGGTTGAACAGAAGACCTCACAGTATCATCGCCGGCCAAAGAAAAGCATGTAAAAAAATGCAAATGGTTCTTCTCATTAGGACTCATTTTTCTCACCCTTACTGTGTACCAAATTGGAATTAGGTGGGTGAAGTCTTTCCTTGAAAATCTCAGTAGGCACTTTGCTAGTAACTTTCTAAGGAATGGTGTCACAAGTGAGCAGTTGAAGAGGGATTTTTGTAATATGAATGTGTTATAAAGTGCTGTTAAATCTTTCCAGCTGACAGATGAGAAACTTCTTTTTCCTGCAGGAATGATCTTGTAGCCTCTTATATGCATTTAGGTGGGCTAAACAAGCTGACACTACAGATCTAAGTGGGCTTAGATTGTTTTTGTCCTGTTCTTATAATAACCCAGGTCTTACATTCTTAAAACATCTGTTTAGCCTCTTGTCCTTGGATTTTGTATCCCTTTGATTAATGTGATAGCCACGAAATTTGGACGTGTTCTTGATGGCCTTCAGTAGGAAAAACAACAACCCCCTAATGCCTGACCAATCAATCACCATTAGGAGAACAATTTCTAATAAGGAGGACAGTGTTAGATGATACAGTGAGATGCTGATTCTGTGGGAAATGCATCAAGTTCCCGCTTGAAGTCTATCTTTGGCTATTTTAAAAAAATATATAGGTTAATATACTATATAATTGAATAAAACTCTTCATAGTTTCTATTTAAACAATTTAAGTTTGCTTATTTATGATATTCCGATACCATTTTAGCTGATACGAGCCTGCAAAAAATATACTTAGTGAAAATGTACTTGAACTTCTCAGAAGCTCTGGCGTGAGAAATTTGCAATTACACTTGTAATCTTTGATTAATGTCAGGTAAATCATTCATTTATATTCTCATATTTTCCGGCAGGATGCAAAAGAGCCTTCTCCATTACTTAATTTAAGTCTTCATAAATTAGAAATGCAAATTATGCCAAATTATATGAAATGTTTAAGGAAAAAAAATCTCTGCACCTGCACTAATGAGTACAATTACAGCAATGAGACATTTAAAAGTAATTTCAGAGATTGAAGTTATTCAGAAATGAACTCCCTTAAGCATGCAAGTTGACACTGTAATCTTATACTCAGTCCTCACTTCAGCAAAACTCCCATAGACTTCAGCTCAGACGCTTTAAAATGCACAGTTATTTCCTGTAGGAGTTTTTCCTCAGTAAGGACTGAATGAAGACTTCAAATTTGGCTTTATTTTCAGTGCAGAAAGTTATTAGACAACATATGTAGTGCTGTGGAGGCATTGAGAATTTAGCTGAAATATCTAAGAATATTTTGTGTTTTAATAGTAGATGACAGCTGGCAAACGCAATAGTCATTTGAGACATCTCAACAATACAGTACTGATAAATCAACCCCATTTCCCAGAACTCAGTAATTTATTAATATAAACATTTGATGTTTTGAATATAACTTTTCTGGGTTTGAATACTTTCTCTAACTAGTCAACTATGACATTTTAGAAGTAATGTTTTAAAAATTGCATTCAGACTTATTTAGATTATGATGCGCAGGTTCAATGTATATTTCAAGATATGAGAACATTAATATTTTGAAAACTTTCCTCTGAGGCTGTTTAAATGTGAGATCAAGATTTGCTATGCAAAATTTGGAGATTACAAATCTGCATATAATCTACTTTATCTGCATGTATAAATTTACCTCTGGAACGAAAAGAACTTTAAACAGTTACTTCATGTAAATTCCTCTATAAAGTTTTTATTTGCAAGAACCATTAACCAATGTATTTGTAATGGTAATCAATCCCTTTAGACAAGAGAGAGACTTCGTGACTAGAGCTACAATTAGCTTTGAATTTTTCATAAAGCCAACTGAAGAAAAAGTTTAAAGGGACTCTTTCTTTTCATTGTTAATTACTGCCTCCTTTTTTTTTTCAATCAGAAAGCCAGTTCTTCCAGTCTTTACAAAAGGGTTTTATGCATATTTTTAATTAAGCTGTATACTTTTTGAATATTGTATTTACAATATTTTTATGGGCTATGTTTGCAAAGTAAAGGTCATAAATGATATAGGAAAGTAACTTAGTATGTAACCATGGAACAAAATAATTGAAACCATTATTTTTAAGTGCATATGAGGAAAAAAAACAACAGAAAATGCTCGGTTATATATACCAAATAACTCTGAACTTACTGCCCCATAGTTTTGTTAAACCCAGTACATACTTCTGATTTCTGCCACAGGTTTATTTTAATATGCTTAATTTCAGCAACAAAACTTTTCTTTTTTCATGATGCTTCTAAACAACTTTTTGAATAGCAAGAAGAGGAAGCAGGGTAGAGTTTAATAAAGAATAGGCCAAATTAAGCCCTAACATCAGCAGTTGTGACTCTTGACTTCAAGTAATTCAGTAATTCATACTAAAACTTCCGTTTACCCATCATTAGTGAAGTCGTGTTGCATGCATTTTAATGTTTACTAGCAAATTCTGCTTTGAAGACATACAACATTTTTAGGTCATCCTTGGAAAATAAAAGATCCATTCCTGCATTCCTTGTGCACTTCAGTTGGCCAAAATTGTCACTGAAATTAGGTTACAACCTTAAACATAACCATGCTAAAACAGCCTGATCTTGAGGCCCTCATCACAATGGGAGTTTTTCCATTGGCTTTAATGGGACACTGATGAGATGCTTGGAACCAGGTTCTCATCTCTCATTGTCTCCTTTGGAGCACAAAGCATACGCCTACACTGCGAGTGACAGTGAGTCTCCGAGCCCAGCTCTACAGACTCAGGCTCACAGGGCTTGTACCATGGCGCTAAAAACAGCCGTGCAGACATTTGGGCTCAGGCTGGAGCTCGGAGCCTAGGAGGGGAGCGGGGCTTCAGAGCCCAAGCTCCAGCCCAAGCCAGCAAGCCTGCACGGCTGTTTTTAGCGTTGTGGTACAAGCCTCAGGCTGTAGACCCGAGCTCTGAGTCTCACGGCTGCGGGGCTGCCATGTGCAGCGTAAATGTACCCTCAGAAAACAGGCTGTAAATAGGCAATTGAGAATCCCCTCAGCAGGGAGGAACTCTCACTGGTGTAGCCAGTAGCACTTGCTCCTGCACTAACTTTCTCTCTGGTGCTGTGGAGTTCATCAGAGGCAGTGGAACTCCGCTCTGCCCTTTCGCAGCTGGGCTCATACACCGCTCATATCATAGGATAGCTCCTAGTCTGCTCAAATACACTGCGGGTCAGGGGCAGCACAGACCAGACTCTGGAATCGGGGAGATATAACTGTCTGTTGCTACCTAACTTTTAAAATTATTCACTTCATCTTGAGCATCAGAAATCACACAGATAGTCAATACTTTCATGTTTCCTGAATAGAGATTCAGGCAGAAGGCACCGATGAAATAAAAGTGAACATTTACTCTCCCCCAGGGTTTCCTCCTTTCCCTCTCTAAGTAAATAAAAGTGAAAATTTCATTGTCTTCTAATATTTCTTTTTAAATAGAACCAGAAGTATCGGGTTAGATGTGAATCCTGTGTCGAAGTTAGACACTTTTACAGTAAAGCTGTATCATCTTTTATATTTTAGAATCATTGGACAAATGGGAACGCCTTACAGTAGCGGATGCACTAGAACCCGTCCAGTTTGAAGATGGAGAAAAAATTGTTGTGCAGGGAGAGCCAGGGGATGACTTTTTCATCATCACAGAAGTAAGTGTGGCTTTCTGACAGAATTTCCCCCGGTGTGGTTATGTTCAAGCGATTGGAATGAAAAAAGTTGGCCAAATTTAATCTCAGTTCATCCATTGTAAATCTGGAATAACTCGACTGAGGTTAGGAGAGTTACTCCAGAATCAACTGAGATCAGAATCTGTACCATTGGCTTCTAGGGGGAAGTGTGGCAGAGGTGGAGCTGCTATGTAATAATCTAAGAATACTGATCTGTAATGTTATGAATACTGTATGTGGCATGGTCAGTAAGGTAGAGATACTGTATAGCTGTGCTGGGTTATTAGATTTCCTGTATGAATGTATTGATCTAGCTTAAGAGGGGGATGTTGTCAAAACAAGCAAGAAGGCAACACAATGGCTCTAGATAATTGTGATGGGGTGTTAATCTTTTCCAAGCTAATGTGGGGTGACTGAGACTCAGAAGGGTCTAATTAACCTGATAGGCCACACCTGAGGGAGGGATTAGGCTGACAGGAAATCTCTAAGGATAGATCCTGCTGAGCAGGAGCCGGAAGGGCTGGTATAAGGCCAAGAAGAGAGGACAGAAGAGGCTGTACTGTAGGTTTAGAGAGGGAAAGGAGGAAACCCTGGGGGAGAGTAGAAGCCCTGAGATCTAGGCCCTGAAGAAAGAGTTTACCCAGGAGGGTGGTGGAGTGAAAACCTGATAGAGGTGGAGTAGGAAAAGGCTTGGGGTAACTGCAGTAAGGTTTGGGACAGTGCAGACCTTGGCCCAGCGGGTCCTGGAGCTGGAACCTGAAGTAGAGGGAGGGCACAGGTTCCCCTACCAGACACTGAGGAAGTGGTATAGCCTTGGATTGGAGGGCTGCTGATACCCGAGAAGGGGAAAACTATAGTGACCTGACCAGAGGGCCAAGCCATGAAGAGGGAGCAACTGAGTCACAAAAGAGGAAGCACAGAAACTCCTGGTGCGCAAGAGGGGCTGCAGCATGAACAAGAGAGAGATCAGGGCAACAGACAGAGAGGAGTTACTCCCCAGACACAGCCACCCAAGCGATGAGTGAACCCTGTGACAATAAGCATCCTCCTAACAAATGCTTGGGGGGCAATTCCAAGACACTGGCTATTAGTGGTGAAGATGACTTCCAGGCTCCAGCCCAAAGTTCCTCAGCTGTTTTGCCAAGGTTGGGACCGTAGAGATCAAAAGGACCCTGAACAGTGAAAAGGACTCTCTCGGGAGAGAAAGGGAGTGGAAGCTGAGTGTCTGCTGTCTTTGGAGACATGGAATACAGACACTGGTCTTGTGGGAGTGGCTGAAGCAGTTGGGGCCTTCCCTAGCCCTGGGCTTATGCCTCAGGGAAAGATAGGCATGTGTATAGACTATATGTTGTTTTAAGATCTGTTTTCTCTGAAATGCTTGAGTTCTAAATAAACAGTACTTTTGCTTTAAGAAGGTGCTCCCAGAAGGAACAGAACTGCAGGTACTGAACCAAACTCGGGTCTGCTGAGATACTCACAGTTAACACCAGAGATCTGCAGCCCAAAGTCTGGTCCAAGAGTGAGAGAATCATGGGATTCCCTCCTCACTTCCTCCCCACCCAAGAGAGGTGAAAGCTTGAGGCCTGAGGTGGGGCGGGAGGCACTCAAAGAGACCAGGAGGGGTCAGAGGTGCAGTTAGCCCAGCAACTGTGACAGGTGGTAGCGGTAATCTGTTCCTCTACTTTGCTTAAACCAAATCTGGGTGGCTTTCTCACTTGCTCTCACACAGGCAGTCAGACCAGTCAGGCAGCTGAGACATCCTTTGGGAGGTCATCTGACACTTCCCTTTCAGCTCCATCATCTCCCTTCTGCCTCACAAGCAAGCAGATGTTGATGGGTATTTTACACACACACACAAATATAATGTGACTTGGAGCAAGAAGATAATGTAAAAATGACTCAAAAATACAAAAACAGCTTTAGTGTGTGACCATATTCTTACAGTATTAGGAACCCTCACTCCATCTATCTACATCCAAGAGTTTTGGCTGCATAGTTTCTATTGCTAGCTCAGGGAACATACATATACAAAGGTATAGACCCTACCCATTAAGCCCCACTCTAGAATCATTAGGGGCCTGCAAAGCAGCATCTCAGAATTTTGTGAGGGCAGCCAGAGCTCCCTTGGCTCCCTCAGGGCCGCCCAGAGAGGGGGGCAAGTGGGGCAATTTGCTCCAGGCCCCGAGCCCCGCAGGGGCCCCCACGAGAGTTTTTCAGGGCCCCTGGAGCGGGGTCCTTCACTCGCTCCGTGCCCCCGGAGCTTCTTCCGCTCCGGGTCTTTGGCGGCAATTTGGCAGCGGGGGGTCCTTCCGCCCCGGGACCCGCCACCGAAGTGCCCTGAAGACCCGCGGTGGGGAGTCCTTCCGTCCCGGGACCTGCCGCCGAAGACCCCAGGCCCCCTGAATCCTCTGGGCGGCCCTGGGCTCCCTCCTCGCTCGGATTTTTGGGCAGGTGCCTCTGCATAAGGCAGCCAGCATGTGGCCCACAGTGAATCTAGTGTGTATAAAATGCCTTTTTTTCTTCCTTTTTATGCGGGTGCTGAAGCACTGAAGAAACTTTGGACCTGGCTTCCCCACTTTTGATGCCCACAAAATTTTGAGTGCAAGTCATTGCATCTGCATATCAAGTAGTTAAAATGTCTAAATGACATTAATTGTGCCCACAAAAAACTGTGGGTGCAAAAAGGGAGGACAGATTTTAAAAATCCAGCCCTTACTATATTTTTAGTTAGTAAAACAGCTGGTATGTAAGCAGCATTTAGAAAATATATCTCTTTGTCAAACAACACAGTGTACATTTCTACAAGTTTTCTAAAAAATTTGTGGCTCTGTGGAGCAGCAAAAGGCTACAGTACTAAGTTTTCTTAGCCATCAAATCCAGTGTGGAAAATTGGCAGCCTCCTTAAGAGTTACCAAAGGCCTTTATTTTCCTCCTCTTAACCGAACAGCTGCGAAGACTTGAATGGGTAGCAAAGCACTAGCACTGCATACTCATGTACTATCTGTTCTTCTATCCCTCCAGCCATTCATCCATTCACTCCTAGAATTTCATCTACATGTTTCTCACTTTGGAAGCTGCCTGTGTTTTTCTGCATTAAAGAATGAAATCCCCTTACCAGTTATTTTATATACAAGTTACACTTGTGCCTGCTTGTGCTGCTGTAGTTCTGGGTTTGTAGTTTGAACTTCATTTCACAGAGGTTTATGGCTCAGATATAAAACTTTTTTCAGGAGATGTGAGCAGAGCCATCAGGAACAAATTATTTTGCAAACTTTGGTTGAAAGTAGTTTGGCTGGTTTGCAGTTACATATGTCCAAAAAATATTAGCTCCTTTCATATTCTTTTTTTTATTTATGGCCTTACATCCACAAATACTCTACAAACATTACCGAGTTATTTGCATGCTATAAATACAGGAATAATTTCACGTGCAACTGAAATGCAGTCACTTTTGGGGTGTGATATGGCAGCTGTTTAACAGTACACAGTGACACTATGCAGAAGCAATTTTAGACTGGATTTTTATTATACATTATACTAATGCAAAGTGAAAATGAGTCAACAATGTGATGCAGTTACAAAAAGGGTTACTATCATTCTGGGGCATATTAATAGGAGTATCATATGTAAGACACTGGAGGTGATTGTCCCCCTCTACTCGGCAGTAGGGCCTCAGCTGTGTCCAATTCTGGGCACCACATTTTAGGATAGATGTGGACAAGCTAGAGAGTCCAGTGGAGACAAATGGAGAGTCCAGTGGAGACCTATGGGGAAAGGTAAAAACAACTGGACATGTTTAGTCTTGAGAAAAGGAGGCTGATGGGGGACCTGATAATCTTCAAATATGTTAAGAACTGTTATAAAGAGGATGTGGATCGATTGTTCTTCATGTCCAAGTAGGACAAGAAGTGATGGGCCTAATCTAGGGTTACAATTCGTCCGGATTCCCCTGGACATGTCCGGCTTTTTGAGCTAAAAATAGCGTCTGGGGGAATTTGTAAATGTCCGGACTCCTCCCCCCCCCCCGCAGAGCGCGCTCGGCTAACAGGGCAGCCGGCTGGATGGTGCCACTTACATGGGCCTCCGACAGCCAGAGAGACCCCTCCTCCTCTCCCATGCAGCAGAGATCACTCCCTCCCTCTCTCCCTCCCTCCCTGCATTAGCAGATCGCCTCCGGCAGTCTGGAGCTCCTCCCCCGCTCCTCCTCCCCGGCATGCTGTTTTGAGCGGCAGGGTAAGGGGGCCAGGGGGTCGGAGAAGGGGCAGGGAGGTTCTGGAGGGGGCAGTCAAGAGACGGGGGGGTCGGGAGTTCGGGGGGAGCTTTTTGGGGGGGTATGGATAAGGTTTTGGGCAGTCAGGGTACAGGTAGGGGGTAGGGTCCTAGGGGGCTGTTAAGGTGGGGGGGGTCCTCAGGAGGGGGCAGATAGGGGACAAGGAACAGGGAGGCTTAGGTAGGGGGTGGGGTTCTGGAGGGCAGTTAGGAGCAGGGGTCCCAGGA